CATTATCAGTCAGCAGGGCAGCAGCAGCATTATCAGTCAGCAGGGCAGCAGCAGCATTATCAGTCAGCAGTGTAGCATCATTATCAGTCAGTCATTAGGGTGGCATCATCATGGACACAAGGATAGCTGTCGCAGACAGAGATGAAAGCGGCGAGCAGTCGCCGCGTTTGAATTGGACTGCAATCCGTCAACATGTGCTATCGGCTCGCTAATCAACGTGGAGTCAATGAACGCACCTGTAATATACCTGCATTACATACCTGTACTGTTCTACCTGTAGGAGACGCATCGTGGTCGGAGTATAGAATATTGCGATGAAATTAGACTCATACTCATCCTCATACTCAACAGACATTTACTCAGTCTTATTCACTGCAGGAACGTTACCTCATGTGATAGTGGTGGCACAGCCCCTCCTCCACCCATCGCCTGGAAAAACATACAAGTAATTCTTTGGAAACCGATCTGTGAACGATGTGTTAAAAACCTAAGTTGAATATAAAATCGGATCCCGTTGGTCTTTCGCAAGTGAGTTGTTACCCCCTTCTGTGACAGACGGTTTCTGGTGCTAACTAGAGTTACAATCTGACAGAATTACCAATGAAGGAATACTTGTAACTTTTTTCAATATATCAATCGCTAGAGCAAAAATAAACATCATTTGTCTTGTAGACAGACACTGTGCTGAGAGATAACACGAGTTTTTAGCGGTGGGGGATTTTTTTACAACGCGACCGTGATAAATAATTTGTTTTTAAATCATTGCTCCAAAACGATCAATCTGAAAAAAATATAGCGAAATATAGTCAAGAGCTCATAATAGAGATAAGAGATAGAGATAGAGATAGAGATAGAGATAGAGATAGAGGTAGAGATAGAGATAGAGATAGAGATAGAGATAGAGATAGAGATAGAGATAGAGATAGAGATAGAGATAGAGATAGAGATAGAGATAGAGATAGGGATAGAGATAGGGATAGATATAGAGATAGATATATATATATAGTCCCACCTCATAGCGCATATATTACTGCATACATCAGCTTGCAAAACACTAATAATTTATGCTGCTTTTTATGGTAGAAAGCTGGAATTGAACACGCTGTAACACCATGGCATATTTGATTATAGCGACAATAAATAAATTTGCAAATGGCGCCTTAGTTTACCAACAAGCCTAGTAACCACCCCGTGTTACCGTTTTGCTTTCGTTACAGGGAGCGGGCTGTACTGCGCTGGTCGTGGCAGTCCTAGCAAGGAAACTGGAGCTGACGCGAGCCGAGAAACATGTACATAACTTTATGATGGACACACAGCTCACAAAACGGGTACGTACGCTGATTCCCTGCCTGTGCTGCCGGCCTGGCGCTCTCTCTGTCTATCTGTCTGTCTCTCTCGCTCCCTCTCTCCCCGCCCCCTCTCTTTCTCTCTCTCTTTCGCTCTCACTCGCTCTCTCTCTCTCTCTCTCTCTCTCGCTTGCGCGCGCTCTCTGTCTCTCTCGCTATCTCTCTTTCTCTGTGTTTCTCTCTCTTGATATCTCTCTCTTTCTCGCTTTCTCTCTCTCTCTCTCTCTCTCTCTCTCTCTCTCTCTCTCTCTCT